AATCAATCAATAAATTACTACAATCATGGAAAAGTAAATCATGGGGTTTTGATTGAATCATTATGACTATTCTCAAGTAGATATTCACAAAGATTATATATTGCAGAGAATTATTAATCATGGATCTATTCAAGGAAGGAATTGATATTGGCATCATGATTGGAAATTCAAATTGTCCAATTCAAAAGGAAAGTTTGCATTAACAGAAGATATCCAAATCTGCCTTGTAGATTGTGATCATGTTCAAAAGGGCAAGAAGCATTAAAGGAAAGTTGGAGCAGCAGCAAAGGAAATCCTTTTCCAAAATTAGAAGACCGCTGCAACGGCTAGAATATTCAATGACCAAGTATAAAAGAGAAGATACTTGCAACAACAAACTCACGCAGCCTTCTATACAATTTGTCTATCCAACTACAAGTTCTTTATTCTACTCTTAACAAGCATTGTAATTCACTTTAGTAGATTTACTGTGTACCCAAAAGAGAGAAGAGAGACAGAAAAATATTGGAGAGGCAGTGTGTCCTAGAGGTTGTATCATTGTTCGTTTCTTTGGTGAGCGAGTGAAAACCAAAGGGTCGTTGTTGGTGAGCGAGTGAAAACCAACCCTGTCAGCATTAGTGGTGATCGCTGAAAATCACAAAGGCTGTACTCAATTCAATTTACAAAAAGCTCTGAAATATAACTCTCTTGCAACCCAAGAGGACTGGATTAAGATACCACATTGGTTCCGAACCAGTATAGAATTCCTGGTATCATTTACTTTATCGCTCTCGTATTATATTATGTTCCTTTACTGTTTAGTATGATTAATACTTGTTTAAATCGAAAGAACTAACAGTTCTGTGCAGACTATCTCCGCATAAGTCGACTAGATCTGAAGAGTAGTCGACTAGAAATTTAGAAAGGCTACAATTCACCCCTCTTGTACTTTCAAATATACGTGTATTTTCTTTCATAATACAATGTGTTCTCCAATAAATTCTAGTAGATGATTTATGCTTCATGTATTTCTCAAAGCCTCTTTTTGTGAGCAGGAAACGGGAACTGCCAGCACCGGTTGACTGTTGTCTCTTAGTTCTTCTCTAATTGCTCATTCTCTTTCTGTTTGTTTCTTTTTTATTTTCATTGTGGCTAGTTTTCCCCTTATTTGAAATTATACCAAACAGTGTTTCGATGACTTATGTTAAAATTCCTTGAATTAGTTTATCCATGAAGTCCATTTGAGTTTGTGCCAGGTCAAAATAAGGTTCATTTGTTATCTGCAGGAAAATTTGCCCCAAGATGGTGCCAAACAACAATTTATGCAGATCTTGCGGACTCTTCCATATGGGAATACAGTTTTCTTTGCTGTTGGAAAGATTAATGATCCTATTGGACTCTTGCCAGAGAAAATCATAATTGGGCATTATTAAGCGTGGGTAAGATACGATGTATCATGTTAGCTATCAAGTTACAGAAGAGCGATGTGTATTACGTTACACATTCTTCATTGTTCAAGTATGATTTCTTGTTCCCTACAGGTTCATTTTTTCCGTCCAGTTCCAAAGGAATGTTTGCATTCAGCTTTGTTGAGGGACATAAGGCGATATATAGCAACAACACTGATGTGTTTCTTTAGGACGAGAGTTGCTGGTGTCTTGCATAACTTTCTGTTTGAAACATTGCAGGTTCAGAGTAAATATGATTATGTTATGTGTTTATAGATAGTCATTCAGTTTGCCTCACAATTTCATGTAACTCGACCATCTTCAATCTATGCAGGGAAAGGACATTTGGTTTGCTCCAGCAATATACATAAATGATGTTCGTAAGCAGGTTAAAAGAGCCTCGAATAAAGTATGTTACCTCCATGTCTCTGCGTTTAACATGCATTCTGCTTTTATATTGATATTGATATTTTATGTTGCTTGCATTGATATGTTGAGTACAGATGGAACACGTTCAGAAAGAGTGGGAAAAAGAATGCGAGGCTTTGAGGGTCCAAGTTTCTGAACTTCAAAGTAAACTGGATGATGCCAATCAAAATTTGGACGTTGCACGAACAGGTCTTGCAGCTAAAGACAAGGAGCTGAGGGAAATGAAAGAGATGAGTATCTTGTATCATGATTATATAGTATCCACGGCTAGGTTGTTGACCGGCCTTAAGCTACAGCGTGATGCTCAACTTGATCAAAATGACTTTGCAGCAAAGCTGACTATGCTCAAGGAGAGCCATTATTAAGCTTAAAAAATGTTAAATTTGTTGAATACAGATGTTATATTTTCAACCTCAGCTAGACTTGCACGGATTATTTTTCTATCACTTACTTCTATTCTGGTTCTCTTAGTCGAAGTGTTATATTTTGCAAAGATTGCAATGCAATAGGATTTCGGTTGCTTCTCTGCGGTTCTCATGAAACAAAGTTGTAGTGCTACTTCCGTATATTGGATTTTACGTGAGGAGTATCCTGCTAGACTAATAAAGAGTCTCTTTAGGATTCTTTACATAAACTATTAACACGATAACTAAAATTCAGTTCTTTGCTGCAGCTTAAAATTTGAGATTCCGCTGGAATGCTTGAGTTGTTTCTGAAGAACAGGGATACGATAAAGTAACAAAAGAGCCGTGCAGACCAATTAATTGCACCGGTTGTATGTTTATCAGGGAGTTTCTTCTCTTGGTCGCTAACGCCATAAATGGCCGGAGATTGTGTGGTCAATGAAGTGTGCATAAACCTTGGAGACCGGTATTTAGATCCTAACAGAGACAAAAAATGAGCCTGGCGGAATAGTCGAAATTCCGACAATAATATTATATATATTTATATAAAATCCATAAAGGGCTGGTGGGTGGGGATAGAGTTTCACAGCTAATGTCGATAAATCAAAGGTGGTGGTGTCGTATGAAATAAGAAGAACCAAAGATTATATCAAAGGTCAAGAACAGATCACAAAGACCAACGTTTGTACTCCTCCTTTGTTATCTATTAATATTGTAATAGATTCATGCTTTCGCTTCCCTTTTCCGCCATCTACTTGAGTTTAAATCCACAGATTTGGCCCTGTTTTTGTGAAGACCACTGAATGCGTTTTATAAAGTATTGGTAATTTTCAGAATTCACGACTTGAAGTAACTACGTACTCTCCATGCACAACAGTTGCTACACTGTGGTTGAGTGGTTCTTTTTCCCTTTTCTACAATCTTTGACAGTTTGAAAACACCTGCAACCACAGAGTCTTGGAAAGAAAGAAAAGTATTGTTAATATTGCGTATAAAATCAGGAAATCAAGAAATCATGCGATTGCAGGAGTAAACTAATTTATTTAACTTGGAACTTGTATCCACCGACGGATTCGAGTGGTCGAAACAGCAAGGTAGGCTGTCTACATCAATCTCTTGGTATGCGGCNTATATATATATACCATGTGATTCATGTCTTGTGCTTGAATTTAACGTATGGAGTTAGATGAATATAGATGGTAGATAGGTGACTAAAACAAAATCTCAATCGGATGACTTTTGGGGTAAGAATTTCCATGGGCAAAGGAAATAAACACTACTAGACATCCGCTAATTTGCGACCAAGAAAAGCGACCAACTTTGGTCGCTTATTGGCCAAAAAGCGACCAAAAAGAGATCCAACAGGCCTGGTCGATATTAAGGTGGTCCCTTTACCTTAGGGACCAAAGTTGGTCGCCAATTAGCGATCAACTTTGGTCTCTAAGGTAAAAAGACCAAATATTCCGGTAAAGAAAAAAGCGACCAACTATGGTCGCCTTATTATTTTAATAATATAAATTTGGCGACCAAAGTTGGTCTCCACAGGTAGACACACACGCACGCTTCGTAGTAATATTCATCCCTTGTATTACAAAAGTATTACCGGCTTACATTTATATTATTTAGATAGTAAATACAAAAGTGATTTTTAATTTTGACCATTGTTGACCTGAATAGAGACCAACTTTGGTCGCTAATTATACATGAATTTAATTTAGCGACCAAAGTTGGTCGCTAAATTTAAATCAGATTTATTTATATTTTATATAATATTTAATTTAATAATATAATTGTTAAACGTTAGAATTGGGCCCCAGATTAGCGACCAAAGTTGGTCTCTATTCCATTAAGCGACCAACTTTAGTCGCTAAGTTTGAATTATATTTATTTACATTTATAATTTTTTTTAAATAAAAATATATTTATTAAAATTTTATAACTGGGTCCCATTTTAGCGACCAAAGTTGGTTGCTTTCTGCTGACCGTTTAATTAGCGACCAACGTTGGTCGCCAATTTTAATTTATATATATTTATATTTTATAATTTTTTTAAAATAATAATATAATTATTAAAATTTTGTATGTGGGTCCCACTTTAGCGACCAATATTGGTCGCTAATCTCAGTATACCTTTGACCAAGCAAGTCTGACCAGTCCAATCAACAGTTTGACTAAATTAGCAACCAACCTTGGTCGCCAATTTATTTCAAATATTTATTTTATTGTTTTCGCTAGTTTGGCGACCAACTTTGGTCGCTTTTTGCCGCAGACCAATTTTGGTCGCTAAAGTTTGGTCGCTTTTTTCCGGAATTCTAGTAGTGAAAACAAAATTTTATCTTGTTGAATCCCTTGATTTAAATTACACTAATACAAAAATTATTTTAGGTCACAAGTTCGATTTCGAGGCGTTCTTGCATTTTGTTTTGGATCCCAAATTTTTTGCTTTGCCACTGAAATTTTTCATTACTGAATCTAATCAACCCCACCATCAAGAAACATAACTTGCTCTTCCTCTTCAATTTACACAGAGCAAGAAGCATCACTTTTCGTGTAGGCATAATATATTCTTAATTACTGGGACCAAAAGTAGGGACAATATATTCCTAAGCAATTCCCAGAATATGGAAACCAAAAGTTTTCTAATATTCCACCATGCATATCACGAACAAAGATATTAATATTCCTACATATAAATGGATCACAAACAAATCTGTGGCAGTAATAACTGGAATTACTGTCGAGAAAAATAATGTCTACCAATAATAATAATAAGCAACATTTCAAGGTTTGCTTCTGCTGGTCACGAGGATTCAAGTTAAGGGGAGGTGAAATACCAGAAGATATTAAGCAAGTCTTTGAATCTTACTCAGTATATGGGATTATGAGCATAGATAATCTAATTAGTTTCTTAGAGAAAGAACAGAAGGAGGTGAATAATGTAACAAAAGAGGCCCAAAATATATTCAATAGCCTCAAGCATCATCACAATATTGTCCACAAAAGAGGATTGAATCTTGATGCTTTCTTTAAATATCTTATTGGTGATTATAACTTTGCCCACCAGTCTAAGGTACTAAAATTATCTTTGTCAATTAATTTCTCCTTTAGATACACTTTTTTACTTAATTTCTGTCTATTGTTGGTTATTTAGGTCCACCAAAACATGGATGCTCCTTTGGCTCATTATTATATATACACTGGACATAACTCTTACTTAACTGGAAACCAGTTGAGCAGTGATTGTAGTACTGAACCTATAAAGAAGGCACTAAAGAAAGGAGTTAGAGTGATTGAATTGGACCTTTGGTCTAATATTACCAAAGATGATATCGATGTTCGTCACGGAGGGTAACTGTTTCTGTTTGGAGAAAAATTCTTTGATGCCGTATTGAATATATCCTCGTCTTTCTTGTTTCACTAGCTAAGACCAAATTTTACATGTTTGTTTTTTTTAAAATGTCAAAGACCATATAAAAACAGATTTTCATGACTGTTTATTATGACCTTTTTTTTTTAATGTTAAAGAAAGCAAATTCTCCTTTAATTAAAAAAAAAAAATTCTCATTTAATCTCGGTTGTTCGGAACATCGATCTTTCCTTTTTCATTCTTATTTAAAAAGACATCAAATTATGGATCCAATTTACAATGAGATGTAAACGACAATAGAACTGAAGAGATTACCATAGATAATAAACGAGGATAAATTCTAACATCACTATGCAATTGGAAGCTTAGGATCAACATTCCAATTAATTAGTCTTTATTTTATTCCTANATATATATTTCAATTTATTGTTTCAAGATAATACATCCTGCAATATAAATAATTTTTACCACCTAGGTGTATTTTAATAGGCAGTTTGCCTTATTTTTCAAATTACTAATTCCACTTTTTATGAACGATTACCTGTAACTATCTTTTAGGTTCTCTAATATTGTAAAACATCTTTTACATTGGCATAACGTAGAAGTTAAACTCTTCTTTTAATATAAAATTAAAACGTACGTAATCCTTTGAAGTATTAGAACATTGAAATACTTTGCTTATTCGATGTCAACATAATCTTGAACGCAGATGGTCAAGAAAACATTTGGTTCCATGCTATTCATCCCACAATCAGAAATGGACGAGTTTCCTTCACCAAACTCTTTAAAGAATAAAATCTTAATTTCAACGAAACCACCACCAAAAAGTAGCGCTGAATCAGACAAGGTAATCGCAGAGCGGCTTTGGAGAATGAACTTGATATAAATACTCAGGTTTAACTTGTCCTTATTATTCTCTAGCCCTTGTTTCGCATGTCCATATCTAATGTAATTTAACATGTTATAGTGTGTTTTACTCTATTCTATAGGTAGGTCACGGTATCAAGTTTGATATGGAGAGTTACATATTGTTGGCCAGTTTGATAGTATAATTTTTTCTTAAATTATCAGTGCATTGAACTCGAGTTTCTAAAAATGAGGCAGCTTACCTCTTAAACGGGTTAAAATACATCACCGTTGTTGGTGTATGTATACTCAGAGGCAGACCGGTCACCGGAACCCGTAATGTTCAGAAATATTTTCAAATATATATGTATATGCTTTTAGAAAATAGCGATATATTAATAGTGAGTACCCTATATACAAAACAAATTTTGGTTGAATCAAAAAGTGCAATTGCAACCTTCAAATTCCGAGTCCGCCTCCCTTACGAAACTTTCGTTATTGGTATACTATAAGCTAAATATCTTTAGACATGATATTTTCCAAACACTTTCCTTCAATTAATTGGTATGTAGGAGAGGGATGAACAGCAGGATGAGGAGTTCGAAGAAGTTCTCAAATATAGAGATTTGATAGCAATCCATGCAACGAAGCACAAAGGTGGCATGGAAAATTTTGGGAGGCATGCAAGTTTTGATAAAGTTGGACGTCTTAGCATGAATGAACAAGCCCTTGAAAAAGCTTTAGCTGTCACTGAACATGGCCATCAACTAATTCGGTAAGTTATATAATTAAATCTTCAGCTTATTGTCTTTGATATAATTAGTATTTTCAGAAAATAATTTCACTCACCAATTACAACAACAACCCAGTATAATCTCGCATGTGGGGTCTGGGAAGGGTAGTGTGTACACAGACCTTACCCCCACCCTTAGGGGTAGAAAATATGTTTTCGAAAAACCCTCGGCACAAGGAGATGAAAAAGAGGCAATAGAACAATACTAATAACAACAAACGTCACGAAGATAGACCAACGACCTAAGATCTAAATCGAGTGCAAGTTATAGATTTACCAAACCACAATATATTTTCAACTAAATGAGTTTTTATAAATCAAAGGTGGATCTAGGATGTTAAGTTGCCAAAAAAGTTAATGTACTTTTTTATTTATGTACTGTAGAATTGATGAGATAGTATTATTTTTCTTACTTCAGATTTACTCAACGACACATATTAAGGGTGTACCCAAAGGGTGCACGCATTGACTCATCAAACTATGATCCTCTAATTGCATGGATGCGCGGAGCTCAGATGGTTGCATTTAACATGCAGGTCGAGTAGTACTCTATCTTGCCATTTCATATATATATATATATAGTACACTTTCGGTTAAGGGTAATAAAAAATAAAGAAATTCTGAAAAAAGAAGTTAGAACCTTAATTAATTAAATATTTCTATATATGTAACAGGGATATTGTAAGTACCTATGGATGATGCAAGGATTTTTTCGAGCCAACGGAGGCTGTGGTTATGTGAAAAAACCAGAATTTTTACTATGTCCTGATGGCGCATGTCATGAAGTTTTCAATTCCATGGCCTTGCCAGTGAAGACAATTCTCAAGGTTCATAAACTGCATCACTTCATCTATTCTAAGAAAAATGACGCAATTTTCTTATTGATCCGTTTAAAAAAGAATAACACCTAAATTAGAAAATAGTTTAATTTAAATTTCTCATTCTTCCCTTAATGACAAAATTTTATAACAACACAAATATTATGATATGTTGAAAATCAAAAGTTTTATAGCCACACAAATATTACAGCACATTTATAAATATGACAAGTTTCAAAAGTAATCAATTTTTTATTTTATCATAGCTGAACTATGCCACTAAATTAAAATGGAATGAGTAGTATTTAGTCACATAAATTGTTGAAGAGTCTCACAAGTACGGTAGTGAAGGAGATGGGTGAATTATATGGCTTGGGAAATCCTCACCACTTGATTAGCTAGTTCTTAGGGTTGAGTTAAGCTCAAGATCCATTTCTTATTTTGATATTACAGCGTGACCCATCCCTACCCAATGTTGAAATCATATATTATATTATTCATGCTTCAAATGTCCGGTCCTAGTCCTGGTAGTGAAGGGGATGAGTGAACACTTTATATGACTTGAGAATTTTTTACCTTTTGAGCTATCTTTTGGGATTGATTAGGCCCAAGATCCATTTTTTATCTCGGTATCAGAACAAGACACATCCCAACCCGATGTTGAACGCCCATATTATTTTGTCCTTGCTTTAGATATCAAGTCCTGGGCGTACGGTGGGAGGAGAGGAGGCGGTTGAAGAGCCCCACATCGGTAGTGAAGGGATATGAGTGGTCTCTTTATATAGCTTGGAGTTCCTTACCTCTTGAGCTAGTTTCTGAAGTCGAGTTAGACCCAAAATTCATTTCTTATCTTGGTATGGCGTGCGGGGGTGTTGAAGAGTCCCAAATCAATGGTGAAGGGAATGGGCGGTCTCTTGATATGGCTTGAGAAATCCTTACCTTTTAAACAAATTTTTAAGATTGAATTAGGACCAAGATTTATTTCTTATCAGAAATGCCACATTATTGCATAATATCGACCTTGCTTGAGAATAACATATGTCTCATGTGTATTTTGATATAAACAGGTAAAAATATTCATGGGAGAAGGTTGGCGTGTAGACTTCCACTTTAGACACTTTGACTATTGTTCCCCTCCCGACTTCTATGCCAGGGTAAGCTATTTCATGTCCACTATACTTTTCGGTTACTGATTATTACATTTATTATTATAGGCAGTTTACATGTATTTTTTTTTTTAATGTGATGATTTAATAGTGCATAATTTTTAACGTCAATCTAATAGTGTTAAACTCTTTTAATAAAATATTTTACTTATATACACTAATAGTTTATATTGACAAATTTATTGAAAAATTTGCAGGTTGGAATTGTGGGAGTTCCTGGTGATACTAGTAAGATGTGCAGAACTGGGATAGTTGACGATCAATGGATACCAATATGGAATGAGGAATTCGAATTCCCAATTCGTGTTCCTGAACTAGCTTTGCTTCGGATTGATGTTAAAGATTATGACCCCTCTGGAGAAGATGAATTTGCAGGACAAACATGCTTGCCAGTTTCTGAGCTCAGGACTGGGATTCGATGCGTTCCATTGCATAAGCGCAGAGGAGATGTCTATAAATCTGTAAAACTTCTCATGCGTTTCGATTTCATGAGTCCTTAAACTTCTTATGCGATAAGAGTTTATGTTATGTAGACTAGCGATAGTTAACTAACAAAGATATGTATTTATTGGTATCAATTAGCTTGATATGATAATTTGAATAATAAAGTAATAACTAGTTGTACACCATGTTATAGTTGCACTGATTGTAACACTTTTTCAACTTTGTACATACCTTAAACTCTATCATCTTATCTTATCTGAAATTTTAAAAAACAAACATAAAATAAGTTTACTTTTGTAAAAGAGTGTTTGTATTTTACATTACCAAATTACTTAAAGATAACCAGAGCTATTTGTTACTAAACTTTATTTGTAAAATAATTCTGGAAAATATAAATGAACATAAACAGAAATGAAAACAGAAACAAAAACCAATTCGAGCCCACTGAATTCACAGTATTTTCTTAAGGAATTTAATCCTCTCCTGGTACCCAAGGTTATGGATTATTTCCTCCTAGGATATAACGAATTACACACTGGTATAGTGGTACTTCAAACCCCAGTGTTTCAGCAAACACAAAGATCGGTAGCAAATCACACTTACTGTTGCTTTGTTTGATGTTAAAAGTATGCAGAAGACGGAGGAAAAACTCAGAAAATCGTATGGAAATTCTGAGCAGAATAGACTTATATTTATAGCCAAAGTTGGGCTGAAATCTAAAGAGGTGCAACTCTTCAGAATGGTTGTTTATGCAAAATGGCCACAACATAGATGCCATATCATAAATGGCTATTTACTCAACAATAAAGAGGGAAAATTGAAGAAGGTAATTTAATTTTCAGTTACACAACTGAAACACGGATTGGATTTAATATTAATATTTATTTTAATATTCATATTCTATTATTAAAACAAATATTTAATAACATTTCTGTTAATATTTTACTATTAACAAATAAATTTGGTCCAAAAAATTAATTAATCAATCGATCATTTGACCAAATCCTAATCCAAATCCGAATTCGAAGCTGAAGCCGAGCCGAGCGAGCGACGACGACGACGGCGCGAGGCTTGCCTTCTTCTCAACTCTTTAAGAGCTAGAAGAAGAGCAATTGCTTATATACCCATAAAAACCTCTTCCTCTTCCAATATGAGACAATGTCCCTTTGCCAAGGTGGGAAACTTAAAATTTCACTCAAAAATTTCAATTCCCTCCATTTCCCATTCACTCTCTTTAAGTATTTAATATACTTAAATACATAAAACCCTTTGAACTATGTGATTCCATACGATTCGCAAGCAAGGATTAATTGCATATGGATAAGTAGGTTTCCCTTTGAACTTTCCGTAGTGAACTTATGTCGGATATACTCGATCAATCGGTAGATTTGATATCTTTGAACCGTCGAACTTTGGTGTATACCTAGACAACCACAAGTCATACAACTAACCCTTAACCGTCTTTGGTTCTCATTAGTGTGTTCGTTCCAGCCATGAACACTGCTGGTTTAATAAGTGCATAGAGAATTGGCCTTGCAAGATTCTCCTTGAAGCAGCTAACACTTCACACTTACATATGTGATTCCTAAATGTGTCATCCCATAGATACACTATTTGATATACCCCATATCAAATTTAGAAATCATTAAAAAGCCTGAATGCTTTATACTTGGTACTGAACATTGTCTCATCACGAGAATGGACCAAAAGTTTAGTTGATAATGTTGAACCGTCATTAATGACTTTGTTTGATCTCTTTGAACCTAGATCTTGGGATCTCCAGTCTTCTAGGTAGAGTTACTGCCACGATGACTTGTTCTCGGCCACAGTCTCATTCCCATTGATGACTTCTCAACTACCTCTCTAGTTAGATCTTTTGTAAGTGGATCTAACACATTATCACTTGACTTTACATAATCAATCGTGATAACTCCTCTAGAGAGTAATTGCCTAACGGTTTTATGTCTTCGTCGTATATGATGAGATTTACTGTTATACATAACGCTCCCATCCCTTCCAATTGCCGCTTGACTATCGCAATGTATGCATATTAGTGCCAACAATTTGGACCAAAATGGAATATCTTCCAAGAAATTTCGGAGCCATTCAGCTTCTTCACCGGCTTTATCTAAGGCTATGAATTCAGCCTCCATCGTAGAGCGGGCAATACAAGTTTGTTTGGACGACTTCCAAGATACCGCTCCTCCGCCAATAGTGAATACATATCCACTTGTGGACTTGGAATCAGTTGATCCCGTAATCCAATTTGTATCACAGTATCCCTCAATGACCATAGGATATTTACTGTAGTGCAAAGCAAAGTCCTAGGCATGTACTAAATACCCCAAAACTCGTTTCATGGCCATCCAATGAGATTGACCTGGATTGCTCATATATCGACTCAATTTACTTATAGCAAAAGCTATATCTGGTCATGTACATTTCATGATGTACATTAAGCAACCCAACACACGAGCATAATCCAATTGTAATATGATTTGGCCTTTGTTCTTTGCTAATGCAAGATTCACGTCAATTGGAGTCTTTGCAACTTTAAAGCGCAAGTGCTTGAATTTTTCAAGTATTGTCTTAATATAATGAGATTGTGACAATTCCAGACCTTGAAAAGTCTTATGGATATTAGTTCCCAAAATTAAATCAGCAACTCCCAAGTCTTTCATATCAAACTTTCCAGTTAGCGTGCGCTTAGTCGCATTTATGCTGGCAATNAATGGTTTGATAAATGGGGTAAGGATTGGACTAGTGTATTTTAATTAAAATTGAGCCAAAATTGACCCAAAATTTGAGCCCATTTCGTCCATACCCGGTCCATTAGGTGGTTGGCCAAGAAAGAGCTCCAAAACGACGTAGTTTTATCTTGAAACTACATCGTTTCACTTAGTAACTCAGAGATCAATCTCATCCATCCATGATCTTTGATCCAATGGCCCTCATTTGTCCCACCAAGAGGTATATAAGCCCTCTATAATCAGAAAAATTGGCCATTTCTCCTGCAACCCAAACCCTAAGACCCTAGTTTCTCCCTCTTCACTCTTCTTCTTCTCTGCCGCCACTGGTCGTCCCCCACGGCAGCGCCGCCATCCTCTGGCGGCCAAACGCCCTCCATCCAACATCATCCTCTTCTCCTCTTCTTTCTCTACACAAATCCAAGCCTCAAATCCTCCAAAACTCCATCAATCTTCATAAATCTAAGAAAATCTGAAACCCTAGCCGCAACTTTTATCATAAATTCGAGAATATTGAGCCCTTTTCTCCACTTAATTTTTACATACATAGATAGAGCTCAACAAGGGCTACCATTTGGCATTGGTATTAACCCAAAATTCCGGCGACCGGAATTCTGGTGACCCCCACTACCGATCTGTCGCCGTCACTGCCACCCCTCAACCGCCATTGCCTCCCGTTTCTCTCTTCACATCGGCCTCAAGCGAGTTTCTGTTGTCGATTTTCAGCGAAACTAGCATCCAATTCTCCGGAGTCATGGTTTCGATAATAATCGATATTAGACACTCGGTTGAGTCCACCACTGCCACTGTCCCGCCATTGCCCGAGTGCTCGAGCTTGGTAAAATTGCTAATCATTTTCTCTTTTCTTAGATTTTCAGTTTTTCTTATTTTATTTGATAGTTTTGTTTGGGTTTAAGTTCTAATAATGGATCGACTACTTCGTATAATATCTTTTTTTTTATTTTTTTGTCGCTTGATTGTAATCGTCCAGGTTTGATTAGTAGTGGTAGTTAAAAGTTTAGCTTCGATTATTTTATTTCTGTATCTTACTAGTTTGAAGCAGTAGTTCAATTTCGCAAAGAATATTTGTTTAGTTTCTTGTTTGTCGTTTCAGTAGCTCGACATGTAATTTAACTTTGTGATTAACTGAATAATTGCTCTTTCTAATAATCTAGAACATTCGTTTAGTTAGTATGGTTGAGTTGTATTGATTTCGTTCAGTCGTCAAGCTTGAGTCACCTATTGGATTGCAGTTTTTGAGTTTGTCTTTCCTACGTTGTCATGTTTTAGTTTGAGTTAGTAGTTTGTGTGTTCAAAGATCCTGTTTTAGTTCTAATTAACTATATTAATATTGAAGTAGTTGTTTAGTATAGGTAATTATATGGTTCAGTCTTGATTAATCCCTATTAGTTGACTCTTAACTAATCTTATTCGAATTACTACTTGTTTCAACTAGATTGAATCTGGTTTCTCTTTGTGGACTAGTTAACTTTGAACTTGGTTTGAGAAATTAAGAGAAAAGGGAAAGAAAAGAGAATACTTGAGTGTAGGGTTCTTGGTTTGTTTGCTTTTACTGTTGCGGATTATTTTGGAGTACAATACTCCAAAATTCTGTCCACAATTGGTAAGAAAAATTGTTCATTGACTAAAATTCTGGTTTTGGACAGATTTTTGGTCAAAAATCTATCATTTTGGACAGATTTTTGGCCAAACAAAATCTGTCCCAAGGCCTTTCCTCCCCCTATAAAAATAGGAGCTCTTTTCTCATTTAAGGAGGATCTGGACTCTAAAAAAAAGATACATCTTTTACACACTGTGAAAAGAATCAAAACTTGAGAGCAAAATTAACAGCTGACCATCCATATAGTAAGCTGAAAACGTAATATTTGGGAGTAGTATCTTGAGTGGAAAATCGTTTCAGAGAAATAGGAGAACACTTAGAGCTTTGTTGGGTTCCTTCTCTTTCAAAAATATGTTGTTCCTCTGGGTTTTAGCACTGCTTTGCTGTTGTTTCTGCTGTTGTTGTTGCTGGTTCTATTTGTTGGTTTCAAGTAGCTTTGGTATCAAAGTTTTCTTGCTGTTTCTTCTCATATTTCCTCATTAGGTATTCTCTTTTACCTTTAAGAGTATAAATTTTGAATGAATTTATGAAACATGTGTTTGTTTTAGCTTTCTAAATTTTGTTAGACTGTTTGACATTCTTGTTGGACTGTTTGAAACATGCCTTAAGTGACCGATAAACTGCATGTTTAAATGCTGAAATTCATTTGTATGAACTTGCCTTCTTATAGGCCTAAATAACGAAGGTATAGAAGCTTTGCAATTGTTCCTGGAAAACTTTATTTCTATTGTATCTCAAAAGTAAAAATGGAGGAATACAGTAGGGGAATGTTATTTGATTCCAATGAGCTTTATCATACTCTAATGATGGATTTTTA